GCGGGAGCGCCGCCGCGCTCCCAAGCGGAGCACTGTAGCAGTGCGCCACCGGGCCGGCCCTGGAATTTTTTTTTTAATGGTCTCTTTTAATGTATTTCCTAGAGGCTTTCTTGAAACCTCCAACATTGTGTTTGTAGGCAACACTGCTCCCCGACAGATGAAAGCCTATTTGCCCAGCGGATGCATCGGGGTCCTGCTAGACCCCGTCCTGTCATGCCACCTTGCAGTCATCTCTACACCCTGCCCGGCCCTGCTCCTGTGCTGCTAAGTGGAGGCTGTGCTGTCCTGGTGTCCCGCCCCTCAGAGGGCTACGAGATTAGCGAGCAGGCATCTGGTGGGCATCCGGTTTCCTTGCAAGAAAGGAGCTGCTCAAATGTAGGACATGTCATTATTATGAGTCAGTTGCCCCAATCCTTCAGCTTTATGGGTAGAAAGAAAGGGGAGAAGTGATTAGAGAGGATCTTCAGAGTGAGATGGAAGCCCCGGGAGACCAGGGAGGTAAGGAGAGGGCTTCCAGAGCCTGCACCTGCTTCCCTGAGTTCCCAAGTCCCCAAGTTCCCCTGAGGGTGGGACGATGAATGATTTCCAGTCTGCAGGACCAGAGTCCCCTGGGACAGATTTAGTGCAGCCCAAGCCCTGACATGGAGAGCAGTACCTCATGTGCATGGCGCCCTGGCTCATGTGTGTGCATGTATGAGTGTGTGTACATGTGTGTGCGCACACACATGTGTGCATGTATGTGTACACACGTGTATGTAAGAGTGTGCACGTATGTTCACACGTGTGTAAGGGTGTGCACGCATGTGTGAGTGTGCACACATGTGTGCGTGCATGAGTGTGTGCACGTGTGTGCACGTATGAGTGTGTGCACGCACATGTGTGTGCGTGCGTGAGTGTGTGTGTGGGAACTGGGAAAGAAGGTCGCCTGCATGTCCCATCCTGAGATGTGTGACCCTCCGACCACACACCCCATGAGGCCCATCACCTTGGAGAAGTCAGCCCGTCCTCCTGCCTCACTCTCGCAGTCCCTCGATCACGTTCCTCTCTTTCTCTCTCCTGCTCGTTTAGTCACTCTTTTCTTTGAAGAACTCACATATTCACTGGTGGTGCATCTGGCACGTCTGGGTCTTCGGGTAGTAAGGCAGGTGTAAGTGAGGACATCTGCTCGCCACAGGAGCAAAGGCGACATACCTCTTTCGCACTGGCCCTGGAAACGTTCTCACAGACCACTCTGTCCTCAGTGACTCTTCGTTGCACGAGGATGCAGAGGCAGGACTTGAGAAAGTCCCGCCATCGGGTAACCCTGCCAGCATTTCCAGAACACACTGGACGTGCAATTCTGTGGGTCAGTAGTGCAGCACGGGGCTGGCACTTTTGCCACTCAGGAAATTAAAACTAGGGGGTGAGGTGGTTTTAACGATTGAGCTCTACAAGTCATTGCGCCAGAGCCGTGGTGAGGGCCGTGCTGCAGATGACCGCAGGTAGCCTTCAAGTTACTCGGAACTGGAGTTGTTCTGTGAGCTCCGGTGGAAAGTGCAGGGGAGGAAGGTGGAACCACTGTTTCGAATGCCTACATTGCAGAAGCGTTTGTTCAAAACACTTTGCTCAGGAAAGCCACTGCTTCCTCGCTGAGCGTCCGTCCACTGGGTGCCGGGCATCGCACCAGGTGCACAGATGACCAGCGGTTGGGATGGCGCAGGCCCTCGTTGGCACTTTCTGGAGCCGGCACAGTTCAGAACACTTGGTTGATACCAACTTCACAGCAGCTTTGTGGGTGGGTGCTCCTCATCTTACGGACGGGGAAACAGAGGCACAGAGTTGAAGTGAATGGCTGGAAGGTCTCACAGATGTAAGATGGCAGGACAGGATTCAAAGCCAGGCAGTCTGGCTCTGTGTGTGTATTTTGTGACACTGCGTCTCCTGCGTGGGGAGGCTGGGAAAGGGGGCAGACAGGACGAGATCATCGCAATAAATGGTGATAAGGGAGGTGACCGTGGCTGGGAGTTCCAAGAGCGCACAGGATGATGGCAGCCAGTCCACCCTGGGAGGGTCAGAAACAATGATGCTTCCCTTGAGACGGGAAGAACCTGGAGCAAATCGGGCAGGGAAGGCAGGAACATTGAGCCACACAGAGGGCACTGCCTGCATAAAGGCCCAGAAGCGAGGAGCATTTGGCGTATTCCAGGGAGTGCAAGGTATTTGGGAAGCGTGGAGACGTGGGAGGAGAGGGTGGTCGGATTGTGAGAGGTGGCTCTGGAGGGTCCTTACGAGCTAGGTCAGGGAGGACT